CCTCCGAGCTCGCAAGCAGAGACGCCTCCATCGCGGGGCTGCAGGCCTCCAAGGCGGACGCCAGCGCGCTGACAGCTTACGCCCTGCTCTCAGAAGTGGACTCTAAGATAGCGGCGGCCCTCCTGGGCGCAGTCACCACGGCGGCCCTGGACGCCGCCCTCCTCGGCAAGGCGGACGCCAGCGCGCTGGCCTCCCTGCTCTCCACGGTGGACGGGCTGGACACGCCACTGGAGGTGGACACCAAGATAGCAAATGCCCTGCTGGGTCTCGCCACCGAGGCCTTCGTCGCAGCGCAGCTTGCTAGCCGGGACGCCAGCATCACGGCGCTCCAGGCCTCCAAGGCCGACGCGACGCTGCTGGCCTCGTACGCCACGAACGCCGCGCTCTCAGCCAGCGAGACCACGCTCCAGAGCACCCTCGACGCAATCCTCGCGGAGCTCGCCGCCCTGCAGCTTTCCGGCGGCGGAGTTGTTAACGCGCCGGCCTGGGCGGGCTTCACTACTTGGGAGCTCGTTCGCGGAAGCAACGTCGTTCGCAACCTGCATCTGGAGGCTCCTCTCTCTGCTGCGCTGGCCAACGGCGACGACACGCTGAGCATCACGGCAGACTGCTACTCCGTCGCACGGCGGACGCGGCCCTCGCGGCTGCGCTGCTGGCCTACTACACCTCCTCACAAGTGGACGCGCTGTTGGGAGACTACCGAACGGGCACGGCGCAGGACGCGGAGACGACCGGTGCCATTTCGGCCGCGCTGCTGGCCTACTACACCTCGGCGCAAGTGGACGCCCTGTTGGGAGACTACCGCACGGCAAGCGCGCAGGACACGCAGACGCAGGCCGCCATCGCGGGCGCGCTGCTGGCCTACCGGACGGGCCCGGACCAGGACGTCTTCACAACCAACCAAATCACCTCGGCGCTGGTGGCGTACCGCTCAGCCGCAGACCAGGACACGGCGCAACGGCCTCGAGCATCGCAGCCGCGCTGCTCAGCTACTACACCATCGCACAAGTGGACGGCCTCCTTGCCGGCAAGCTCGGAGTCACGGAGGCGGCCTCGGCCCTGCAAATAGCAGTGCGCTTTCCGGACGACGGAGGGGCCGACGAGGTGGTGGCCGCCATAGGAGAGCAGATCCTGGCCCCCACGGACGTCTCACTGTCAAACTGGACGGTCCGCCCCAGCAGCGGCTGCAGCGTGGTCCTGGCCACGCACACCGCTGGCGCAGCGAGCGTGGACGGCTACACCCTGACCCTGGCTGCGAACCCGTGGAACATCGTGCGCACCTACAACTTGGCCCCCGGCCGAGAGCTCCTCTTCGCCTGCCGGTACCGGCTCGGCACAGCCTCCAACTTCGTGGTGTACATGTCCGAGGCCGACAACGTCTACGACCCCCTGTACGGCAGCTTCGTGGGTGACCAGGGCGCCTGGAGCACGGCCAAGATGTACTTCACAGTGCCTCCGAACGGAGTTGCAAAGCTGCACTTCGGGGCGCATTTTCAGGCGCCGGGCCTGCCCAACCAGACGGCAGGAACGGTGGACGTCTACGGCCTCCAGATCCTGGACGCAACCCTGGAGGCCGGCAACACAGCGGAGGTCGAGGCAGACACGACGGCCTCGGCCCTGCTGTTGAAGCACGAGTTCCTCGACGGAGGGGCCGACGACGTCACGCTGGCCACCCTGGGCGAGGTGCTGCTGGAACCCACGCTCACCACATTAGGCAACTTCCTGGTGCGCTCCAACAGCCAGAGCTCCGTGGCCTCGGCCAGCTTCACTGTGGGAGGCTTCCAGCTGGCTATGCATGACCCTGAGCGCCTTCGCCTGGAACATGTGCGCACCTACACCCTGACGCCGGGGAGACGCTACTCCTTCGGTTGCCGGTACCGGCTGGGCACGGCCTCCAACTTGGTGATGTACGTCAGCGCGGCCGACAACGACTACGTGGGCGTCACCGGCACCTTCCTCGGCACGGCCGCGCAGGGTGTCTGGAGCACAGCGCGCCTGGACTTCTCAGTGCCACCGGGCGGAGTCGCAAAGCTGCACTTCGGAGCCTTCGGAGGCTCGATCCCCGGGCTGGTGCAGCAGTCGGCGGGCACGCTGGACCTGTACAGCCTGCAGATCAGGGCCACCGCCTTCGAGGGAGAGTCGGTCTCCGTGACGGACCTGCTGGCCGACTCGCTGGCCCTCACGGGCTCGGCCACGCTGGACGGACTCACTGCGCAGGGCAACGTGGGCTGCGACCAGCTGCTGTGCAACGACGTGAACTGCACCGACGTGTTCACGACGGGCGTGGACGCCTCGGGCGCAGTCTCCTGCGCAGCGCTCACAGCCACCGGCGCCGTCGCCGGAGCCACGCTGTCGTCCACCGGCGCCGTGTCAGGCAGCTCACTGAGCATCACCGGCGCGGCCAGCGTGGGCCTGCTGAGCTCCGCCACAGGAATCACGGGCAGCACATTGACCATCAACAACACGGCCAACGCCGGGAACTTCACCACGGTGGGCGACGTGTCCACTGGCACGCTGACGGTCTCGGGTGCAGCAACCGCGGCGAGCTTCGCTGCCACCGGTGCGCTCACGGGCGCCACGCTGACAGTCAGCGGGGCGGCCTCCACGGGCCCGCTGGACTGCGAGAGCCTGGACTGCACCTTCACGGCCACGAGCGGCGGAGTGTCGACGGGCAGCGTGGTGTGCGGCGACGTGACGAGCTCGGGCACGGTCTCCGCGCCGCAGCTCTTCGCGTCCAACACGCTCACCGTGACCAACACCTCCGACTTCTCGGACGATCTCTTCCTGACGAAGAACTGGGCGGGCTGGAGCAAGCTGCAAGTGTCCAACAACAGCGCGGCCCCCGACAGCGGCCCGGAGCTGCGGCTGCTGGGCAACCAGAGCGCGCGGGTCTTCCTGGAGCGGGACGGCGGGGCGCACCAGTGCGAGCTCATCATGATCAACGACGAGGCGCTGGTGCAGACGAAGAGCCTCTCGACGCAGCTGTCCCTGACCACGAACCAGCGGAACCCCGGCTGCCTCGTGATCGCGGGCAACACGGGCAACGTGGTCTGCAACACGAGCTTCACGGACTTGTCGGACAGCCGGGTGAAGACGGAGATTGGACCTGAGGCTGGGCTTCGCCTCGGACGACTTTGCAGGAACAAAGTGGAAGAATTTGACGGGGACCACACGGTGGAGCGACGGCACGGAGATGGTCACGCTTGACTACTCGCACCTGACCAGCGTGCTCTGGGGGGTGTGCAAGGGCTTCCAGGCCCGGCTGGACGAGGTGGAAGCCTGGCAGGCCCAGCGGGGGCCGAAGAACAAGTAAAAAATGGAGGCGCTGAGGGACCTGGCCGACGACTTCAACGTGCGGGACCCGCGGAAGCTGTACCGACTCGCGAGGCAGCGCGACCTCGACGTGACGCAGGCCATGGCCTTCGAGGCGCTGAAGGCCGACGTGGGCCGGCAGGTGCAGGCGCCCCGGCCGCGCGCGCTGGGCAAGTCTGCTGCCGAGGGGCCGAACGACCGGCTGCAGGCCGACCTCATTGACTTCAGCCAGAACACCCGGGGGAAGACCAGGTACGGCCTGGTGGTGATGGACGTCTTCACCCGGGAGGCTGCAGTGGAACCTCTGCAGAACAAGAACGCCGAGACGGTGGGCCGGGCCACCAAGCGCGCCGCAAAGGAGCTGACGGGGGACGACAAGAACTTTGTGGTCACGACAGACCTGGGCAACGAGTTTGCGACGCTGGACCGGGAGCTGCCGACGGAAGCCGTGCACCGGACGAAGCGGCCCGAGGACCGCAACGCCATTGCCGTGGTGGACCGGGGCATCCAGACCCTGAAGAAGGACCTGGCCACTCGAGTCGCCAGGAAGGGCGGCGGGTGGAGCCAGCACCTCGAGCAAGTGGCGGACGCGTACAACGCTCGGCCCCACGAGACGGTGCATGCTGCGCCGGAGGACGTCGAGAAGCAGCCGGCCACGGAGTTCCGTGTGCTCCAAAACAACGCCAACCGGTTCCAGCACAACAAGGACCTCACGGAACGCCGCATCAAGGCCATAGAGGACGCGGGCGCCTTCCGAGCGCCGACGAACGCGGCGAGGAGCTTCAACCCTCTGCAGCAGCTCGCGGCCGTGGACTCCATGACCGTCAGGGGCACCGAGGGCCGTGAGACTCTCCTGAAGCTGGCCCTGCCGGCTCCCCAGGGCAGCGGCAACGCTGCGGGCAGGCTGACAAGGCGTGGCAGACCGGCGGCCGTGAGGCAGCTGGACAACTTCCTGGGCCCGCCCCGGCCGAGGACAATCGACTGATAACCAGCTGGCAACTTTGCAGTACCAAAGTACGGCTGATAACGGCAACTTTGCATTTGAGCCAAAGACCGCAGCTCCAGCTGGCAACTTTGCAGTACATTTGAGCCAAAGACCGCAGCTCCAGCTGGCAACTTTGCAGTACATTTGAGCCAAAGACCGCAGCTCCAGCTGGCAACTTTGTAGGACGGGGAGCTGGCAACTTTGTAGGACGGCAAGTGGCAGCTTTGGAATACTTTGAGACGCGCGTTTAGGTGGGAACCCCAAAAGAACAGCCGCAGTGCGGTTCGGGAGAAAAAGACGCGCAAACCCCTAGATTATTAACGGGGAGGGGGGGCACGTGCACGCGCACAATTTCTCTCACGTAAAAGTGCGTCGCATGAACTTGATTGCTGTGCCGGGGAGCCGGCTTTGTGTTTGTGAGGCAGATGATGGCCCGGCCTTGAGAGTCACAGACATTGCTTGGTTTTTGATTCGACATGCAGTGAAAACAAGAGTTGACGGCTGCATCGCATGAGCTGGATGTTCCCGACAATTTGCATTGTGTGCAAATGACATGACTGCACGTTTTTCTCCTCTCAACAGTGCGGAACGCCTTTCAGGCACCCACACCGGTCGTCACGTGAGACACTGTTCCATCACGTGAACTACCTGTAGAAGGACAGCTCGGTCCCAAAAAGGTGCACATGCACAAAACTAGAGAGACTCACCGCTTTGAGCTGGCAAGGAAAGCCTTGGTCTCACGGTGCTTTGCCAGCAACTTCCCGCAGTACTTGTGTGCCTCGAACTCTGCCTTGAAGATATCCCTCGCGCCTACCCGGTTGATGCCCCGAGCACTGGCCGTGAAGGCCTCCAAAGCAGCCTGCCATCCAAGGCAGTCAGGGCCGCTCTTGGGCAGCGTTCCCGTGGTCTCCACAAAGTTAGCCACGGCCTTGCTCGCATAGAACGTCTCCGACGAATCGCCGGTCTCAAGGACCACACAATGCGGTCGCGGGTGGATCTGGGTGTCTGTGAGCCGGGGCAGAAAGACTTTGTAGACCTTCAGGGGGCAAAAAAAAAGCCGCAGCGCGCAAGCTAATCAATGCATGATCTCCCCCAAAAAAAGGGAGCGCCTGGAGCAGCAGGTAAAGCAGCCCCGGGGCGACGCTATCCACGACAGCCGTCGCCTTCCACCGCAAATCCACGACTCGGTCATTCGGACCAAGCGGCATGCCCGGGGCGACAAACCGCAATGGCCACCGCACCTTCGTCAGCGACCTCCCAACGCCGCCATCCTCGGCGGTCCAGGACACCCTACTGTTGGTGGCAAGCACCATGCCCCAAGTGACGTTGAAGTCAACGTTGTCCCCGTACAGTGTGCGAGCCGTCAAGGTCGTTGCGTGGTCGCGGAAGTCCTTGAAAATCGTGCTCTGAATGGGGTGCTTCTCCTCCAGCTCGTTGAACCACAGCAACCGCCTTCCCCTGAGGCCGAAGCGCACAGGCGCCGCCTCATCCGGCGGTTGCGGCGGCTTCGTGAGCACCTCAAGCACGTGTAAACCATCGATTTCAAGGGGCATTCGAACAAAACAACACAGAGCATTGTTTTATTGAGACATTGCACGCAGTGGAGACTGGGCAAAACAGGGCATCGTTTTTGACTCACACAAGACCCCGCCTCCTTGGGCGGTGTGTGGCCACAATCACCAAAGAGTTTGAGCAGCATGGACATCCAGGCGTTCTTGCCGTTCTTCCCAGCGCCGACCCAAAGCATCCCATCCTCCAAGCTTTTCGTGGAACAGCTGGAAGGCGGCAAACTTCAGCAGGAAAAGGACCCTGGGCCATGACTCGTGCGAGCTGAAGAGGAACCGGAGGGCTGCAAACTCCGGGTGCTGGGAGAGGTTCCACAGGCGGTCTGCCAAGGTCTGGGGGAACATGTCCTCGCTGGTGTAGTCTTTCTCCGGCAGGCCGTCCTCAAAGCAGGCCACCTCCTCCAGGAGGGCGGCGACGTTCAAAACGTCCAGCTTGTGCGTCAAGTCACCGGGGTAGGAGATCCCCAGTGAGCGGCTCATCCGCAAGTCCCTGCGGCCTCTGGTGGCCTGCATGGTTGGTACGTGCAGCGCCCAGCCATCCAGAAACAACAAGAAGTCACGGTACTTATTGCCGTCCAGCTCTGCGAAGAAGTAGGGATCGTAGAGCCCCTTTTCCATCGCGGTATTCGCCACCTTGCGGAGCAAGGCGATCTGGAACGCCACCTTGGGGGGGAGGCCGACCCAGTCCTCCGGCGTCGAGTCGATGTAGACCTGCTTCACCACATCAGCCAGCGTCGTCTCGGCGTGCGCCGATTTCGCCAAAGTCCAGCGGCCCTTGCCCTCGTCAAACATGGCGGTTTCGGTGTGCCTGGTAGATGTTGGGACGCACTTGTATGTGTCCAACACAAGCACACCGTTGTTCAGCACGTGCCCGGGCAGCAACTGGGCCGCGAGATAGTCCACGGACTCCACGCCGGCCGACAGGTACGCACTGAGCTGGAACCGAACCTGCTCCTGCTCTACCCAGTCATTGTCCACCGTCTCCCAGTCACACTCCGGGCGGATGGTCTTGAAGTGGCGCAGCAGCTCCTCCATGCTTTGGTAAGCCTTGATACCGAGCGGGCTGTCCGGCACCGCGGCCTGTGCGGCGCAAAGCACGCGCTGTCTCCAGAGGTCCACCTCCTCTGGCAGGAGGTCTCTCAAGGGAGCAAACACAACTCCGTCATGTTCCCAACTAACGGGCCCTGCCCAGTTGACCAAGTAGTTTTCACACCAAGCGATCGCATGGCCTGGAGGTAGTAGTTCCGACGCTTCTTCAAAGGCGGCTTCTCCCTGGCAGGCTCGGCGACGGCCTTGGTCTTCTTGGCAGGCTCCTCACGGACATTGACTTCGACCGCCTTCGGGAGGCAGAAAGAATCATCTTGGGACTTCCATGAAGAGACCAACACCTCCAGCCGAGAGATCCTCTCACTCCGCGGCAATTGCACGAGCTGCTGAGCGATCGCAGCCAGTTGCAACTCCTCAGAGGGCACTTGCCTACATGGAGGGTCCGGGCTCTGTCCAACTTTCACGGCATCAACAGCTTCCATGGGCCTTGGCTCCTTGACTGCGGCCGGCTCCTCAACTGCGGCCTCTGCGGCCGGCTCCTCAACTGCGGCCTCTGCGGCCGGCTCCTCAACTGTGGCCTCTGCGGCCGGCTCCTCAACTGCGGCCTCTGCGGCCGGCTCCTCAACTGCGGCCTGTGCGGCCGGCTCCTCAACTGCGGCCTGTGCGGCCGGCTCCTCAACTGTGGCCTCTGCGGCCGGCTCCTCAACTGTGGCCTCTGCGGCCGGCTCCTCAACTGCTGTGGCCTCTGAGTGGCCCCCACCTCTCTTGTGCTGATTCCAAGCCTCCTGCAACGAGGCCAGTTTCCAATTCATGCTGGCTGCCACGCCGGCCCCCTGAAGGGCAGCCACATAGTCTTTCTTGTGTTTGAGAACGACCTCCGAGCTTTCACTGTCTGACTCATGATCATGATCACTGCCACCGGTTCTCAAACCCGTCACACGATCAAAGTCCGACATGGCAGTTTGCGGTGTTGCGGTGAAGTCTCTGCACCAAACGGCTGCCCGCAAGGGCGATCAAGGCACAACAGCTCACATGGCCCCTCAAAGTCACAAACCTCAAAGAGACCGCACACAAAGGCACTCACTGAGGTGAAAGGGCTCGTCACTCGCCACTCGCACAGCCTCGGGGTGGGCATGGGCAGGGCCGCCCCCCTAGCTTCCTTTGAGTCCCCTGGGTCCCCTAAACCCCTTCTGCCCTGCTGCTGGTTTTGAATGGGAAGAGGGGGGAAGGCCACCCGCCATCTAAAGCAGCAAACCTACGTTGCCCACGGCACCAAACCAGATTATGCTCGGATTGGGGCAGTCCCAGGGTTCACCAAGTGTTGCTCCAAATCGGGAAGCTTTGTCTCGTAAGGGCGTTCCAACCCAAAAAGCAGGGCCACCAAAGTATGGTCAAAAAACACAATCTTGCAAGATTGGGGCCCTCTGGGCAAGTTCCCCTCAACTGCAGCAAATCTGTATTGTTTGAGGGGTCCTGAAGGACCACGCACATGTTGAGTCGACCTGAAAGCCAGCTCCACCACAATGCGCGCCTCTGCAGCTCTGGCGCTTGCACCAAGAGCGCCTTGGGACAGGACCCTTCCCAGGTCCTCTAAGCCCCTGGGTCCCCTCAATTCTTCTGGGTTTTCTGAGTCCCCTCCTGTTTTGTCGAGTTTCTTGAGTTTGCTAGGTCCCCGGTGTCCCCTAGGTCCCCTGGGTCCCTGGTGTCCCCTAGGTCCCCTGGGTCCCCTGGGTCCTCTGCGTCTTCTAGGTCCCCTACATCCCCTGAGTTCCCCTGAATCCCCTGGTCCCCTCCTGGTCCCCTACGTCCCCTGGGCCCCCTAGGTCCCCTAGGTCCCCTGGGTCCCCTAGGTCCCCTGGGTCCCCTGGCGCGTGTACTTGAAAAAAAAGCACCCCCCCACCCGTTGGGCGAGCCAGTACTTGAAAAAAACCGCACCGTTGGGCGAGTCAGTACTTGAAAAAAAAACGCACCCCCCCACCCGTTGGGCGAGTCAGTACCTAAAAACTCGCCCCCTGCCAGTTTTGAACGATACCTCTCTTGGCGTGGGGGATTAGGGCACAAGATAGCCAGGGGGCGCAGGGGACGCAGGGGATTTAGAGGACCCAGGGGACCTAGGGGACCCAGGGACCTAGGGGACCCAGGGGACCTAGGGGACCTAGAAAGCTGAGAGGACACCAGGGGACCCAGAAAACCTAGCAGACTCAAGGCACGACCTAGCGCTCCAGGGGACCTAGGGGACCTAGGGGACCTCGGGGGACCAGGCCACCCAGGGGACCTAGGGGACCTAGAAAGCTGAGGGGACACCAGGGCCCAGAGGACCTAGCAGACTCAAGGGACGACCCAGCGCTCCAGGGGACCTAGCGGACCTAGCAGGGGACCCAGGCGACCCAGCAAACTCAAGGGACCCAGGAAACAGGGGAGGGGACCCAGGGGACTCAGGGGAGTCTAGGTGCAGGGGCCCAGGGGACCCAGGGGATGTTGGGGACCCTGGGGACCTTAGGGACCTTAGAGATCTTAGGGACCCAGGGTCTTCAGAGTTCCTGATATGTTCAAATGAGTCTCCAGCATCATAAAGTAATTCAAAAAGAAAATGTCGAACTCAAAGCCACATCATTTCCCAATTACAAACACGGATGTAAAAACCAAAACATCATGTAGAAACATATAAATATAAAAATACATATAAACAGCATCCGCGATGTCCCTGGGGTCCCTGAGGTCCCTGGCGTCCCTGGGTCCCTGGGGTTTCCAGGGTCCCTGGGGTCCCTGAGGGTCCCTGGGTCCCTGGAGTCCCTGGAAACCGCAGTAGACAAGGATAGATGCACTTTGGGGCCCTGGCGTCTCGATGGAAAAGATGTTGTTTCACGGCGCCTGCAGCAGACGGTTCAACACAACGACGCACAAGTGACCAGGGGACCTCAGGGACCCCAGGGATTCTAGGGACCTCAGGGACCCCAGGGATAGCAAGGACTTCAAGGACCCACAAAGACCCAGAGACCCCACAAAAACCACAGGGACTCCAGGGCCCCAGCATCCCCGCATCATCCAAACCTGGCGAACCGGAAAAAAAGGTAGGGGGAGTAGTGTCCGGGAGCTCAGGGCGCCCTCAAAACCAAGATACTCAGAAAATTGGGGTGCCGCAATTCACTTTACGGGGAGAGCTACAGTTCCGGTGAAAACGCAGTGGGGGCCCCGGCCGGCCAGGTCTGCAGGATGCGGTCCAGCACACCTCGGACCCAAGCACGAGCACATGCGCAGTGGCACCAATCAAGTCGAAACAAAGCAAGTGCACCATCGACATCCAACGCACCGCAAAGGCCCAGGCAGCATGTAGGTCAAACGAATCCTGGCACGGGCGGGGGGCCAAAGGGATCAAGGTTGGTCCTAGGCCTGAAAGATCTGCTGACAACAATGACCATGACAACGGAAACAGTGAAAAGGCCCGGGCAGTACACCTCGATGTCAAACAAAGCCCTGGCACGCAGTTAAAAAAGGTGACAAAAGGCAACTCCAAGGGCCGAGCAAATTCCAGAGTCTTGGCCACCCTGAATGCGGGCAAAGGGCAAGGACACGTGGGCACGTGGGCCGAAAAACCGCGCCTTACACCCCCGCGAGCGGCTCGCTCCCATCTCCCGGACCCCGAGTAAGGCCCTCAAACGGCAGCAAGCCGGGTCTCACCACAGAGCCCTCAAGTGCTCACAAGTCGACTGACAACATGAAAATCATGCAAAAACACCACGCCGTGCCGTGCCAAACAAATTTCCGGAAAAACAAACATAAACATGTTTTTTCCGGAAATGGCGGCCCTCGAGCCGCTTGAAGCGAGGGCCGACCAAACGCTTTTGGTCGGACCACTATTTTTCTCGCCCTATAAGAAAAGGACCGGCAAGCAAAGTCAAGATGACTACCATCGCCACTAGCGTCGCCCTGGGCGAGGTCCAGACCAGCCCCAAGGGAGCCAAGTCGGCGCCCTTGAGGTGCGAGGAGGGGAAGCCCATCGTCTGGCAGTCCGCGTGGACGCGCGTCCTCTGGGAGCCCAGCAGCTTCGGCGAGGACCAAGGAACCAGGCAGAACGCTTGCCTTGCGATGGAAAGGGATTCCGAGGCCTGGGCGGCCTGGGAGAAATTCGAGAAGAGGTGCGTTAACGAGCTGTCTTCACAGTCGAGCCGCATTTGGGGGGAAGGACAGGTGGCAGAGCTGCCTCAAGGAGTCCCGACGGGGAGCGACAAACTGGACGCGCGGAACGTCCGCTTCTGGGACACCGACGGCAGCAAGATCCAGAGGCCCGAGACTCTTGCCGGCTGCGAGTGTCAGGCCAACATCGAGGCCCGGCAGGTCTGGATCATGGGGAAGCAGTGCGGGTTGGTGCTGGAGGTGAGAGACCTGCTGGTGAAGCCGGGCACAGGCGGGGACTCCTGTCCCTTCTAAACCGGCGTTCTTTTAATCGCGGATTACCAACGTAAAAGAACAGGTTCGCGAAGCCTCGTTTGGGGCCGCTCCATCTGGTCGTGATTTTTGCTCTGACACCGGGTGACAGCAAGGCCCCGAGGCACCAGGGAACCCAGGCACTTGGGCACCCAAGGCACCCAGGGCACCCAGGGCACTTGGGGCACCCAGGGCACCCAGGGCACCCAGGGGGCACTTGGGGCACCCAGGGCACCCAGGGCACCCAGGGCACGCAGGGCACTTAGGGCACCCCCAGGGCACCCAGGGCACCCAGGGCACCCAGGGCACCCAGGGCACTCGGGGCACTCGGGGCACGCAGGGTCCATCACGCCAGACGGCACTGTCCTCCAGGCATCAAATCCTCACGCAGTGTCCCTCCCATCCAAACAACCACATGCCACAAAATCGTGAAAAATAAAAATGTCAAGGTCAAGTCACGCAACTCCGCCACTTGCTCAAATAGCAAAGCACCACGCAAACCCCGTCACAACCTTCGATCCACGACACTGTGCCCGTTGTACAGTGGCCGCCACTTTCACAGTGGCCCCCTCCATGCCACTTGTACAGTGGCCTGCCACTTGTACAGCGGCCGCCACTTTCGTGCAATCCCAAAAGCGTGCAAAAACACACAAAAACAGGCCCAGTTGGGCGAACCAGTATCGAAATGGAGTTGGGCGAACCAGTACCAAGCCCCACCACCTCCTACAGGTGCCTGCTCGGCACTCCTAAGTGCCTGCTCGGCACATCTACCTACCAGTGCCTGCTCGGCACTCCTAAGTGCCTGCTCGGCACATCTACCTACCAGTGCCTGCTCGGCCTAAGTGCCAGGCACTGCCCACCCGCCCCCCCAGCGCCAGACCCTCGTAGTGCTTCGCCAGGATGCGAGGGCGTCACCTTCCGGGTCAGGGTGCAATCAAAAGCAAATTCCATGCCAAAAACATGCAAAACCATGCACACCAAGCAAATGTCATGCAAAAATCCACACATCAAGATCCATTTGATGCCGCGCGCTTTGAGGCACCCGGGGGCGGAGCGGCCACCTTGATCGGACGACTTTTTTTTTAACCAGCCTGAAAAGCAATCAAACCCAACAATGGCATCCTGGGCAAGGCAGCGGGAGCACATCAGGGAGGCGGTCGAGGCCGGATCGAGGGCCCGGGACACGGATGACAGAAGCCGTGTCTTGGGCTTGAGGCGGGGCCGAGGCGCCTACGCGTTGCTCCAGCGCGCGGACGGGGCGTCACCAGGGCCGGGGAGGCCTACTTCGGCATGCTCGGGCGGCAGCCAGAGTCGAGGACCTTCGACCCAAGGCAGCCGCTGGTCAGGGAGGGTGCGGCCGACTACGTGCTACTGCAGAACGGGCAGCAGGGCCCAGTGCGGCGGCGGGAGGACGGCACCTACCAGCCTCTGCGGCGGTCTCCACCGGATCTCGGATCTTGCACAGCGCGCGGCAGAAGCCCCTCCAGCTCAGTCATGGGCCGCTGGCGAGTAGCGTCCGGATCACTGACGACCGCCAAGCTCTTGATGTCCGTGCACTTGTCCGGGCACCAAGAGCTCTCTCTTTAGAGGGGGTTTTCCAAATGGCTTATATTCTACCTGAGAGGCTTCTAGCACTCGTCCGTCCAGCATTTGACCTCGTCCTGCGAAGGATTCGAAGTCTAAAACGCTGCGTGCAGGCGTGTGGCTGCAAAATAGAGACCCCTAGATATGCTTGCAATTTGGCTCCAGGTTGCATTTCAAGCGAGCCAAGCTTTGCAGGGCTAAGAAAAAACAAAAAAAAAGAAAAAAAGGGGTCCAAAAAAAAGGGGTCCCCGAAAAAAAGGGAAAAGGGGTTTCCTTTGGCAAAGCTTGACATCGCTTGAAATGCAACCTGGAGCCAAATTGCAGCGCATATCTAGGGGTCTCTATTTTGCAGCCACACGCCTGCACGCAGCGTTTTAGACTTCGAATCCTTCGCAGGACGAGGTCAAATGCTGGACGGACGAGTGCTAGAAGCCTCTCAGGTAGAATATAAGCCATTTGGAAAACCCCCTCTAAAGAGAGAGGTTCGCCTGAGAACTGCTGAAAAGTCTTCTAAAGAGAGGGATACAGGGAATGCAGGGATTCCCTGCAGAAACCCTGCATTGAAATTCCCCCAGGATTTCTTGCTATACGCTTAATTTCTTCAACACAAGTGCCAAACAATTGCCACTCGTGTTCACATTTCTGCCGCGCCAAGCCGCTATACGCGCTTAATTTCAACATGTCGGATTACATGTCGGATGAACATGTTCTTGGCACTCCGGCCGCGCCTGCCCGGCATTGAAGCCGCGCCAAGCCGCCGAACCCCCACTCTCCCCCGGCTCGTTGAGCCTATGTCTAGATGTGGCTACAATTCTTACCCACGCCAACCCGCTGAACCCCCACTCTCCCCCGAATCCTTGCTATATGTGCTATATGTGCTATATCTTACTCTCCCCCGGGCCCTTGCTATATGTACTATATGTGCTATATACTCTGTACGCGCGAAATCTGTACTATATGTGCTATATAGGGCCATATAGCACATATAGCACATATAGCAAGGAACCCGGGGAGAGTGGATGTTCAGTGGCTTGCCTTGTGAGATATAGCACATGTAGCACATATAGCAAGGAACCCGGGGAGAGTGGATGTTCAGTGGCTTGCCTTGTGAGATATAGCACATATAGCACATATAGCAAGGACCCGGCGGAGAGTGGATGTTCAGCGGGTTGCCGCGCCCTGCGTAGCCTGCCTGCCGCGCCTGCCTGCGTAGACGCCAGCGTACGCGCGCCACATTCTTGCCCGGCATCGGCAAGGTCGGGATTCTTCCCAGGAAAAAAAATCAGAAACTGTCGTCTAACCCGACAGTTTCGGCGAACCTGCCCGGCATTGAAGCCTCCACCCCGGCCGCGCCACCTGCCCGGCATCGGAGCCTGGCGTCAATCCTGGGCTGGGCGCAGGATTGCCCCCCCTGAATCCTGCACTGGGCACAGGATTGCTCCACTCAATCCTGTCGCCAACGCAGGATTGCTCCACTCAATCCTGTCGCCAACGCAGGATTGCTCCATTCAATCCTGTGCCCAACACAGGATTGCGCCGGTCCCAGAAAACTGCCTGACTCTAGGCGCAGCGGGACACGGCGCGCACGGGCTCGGACCAGTGCTCTGCCACGCAGGGCAGCGCGTTGTTCTCCGCGGCCCGGTCGTAGAAGAGAAAGAGGCGGGTGAAAGGCGCCTCCGGCTCGCGCGCCAACAGCTCGCCCAGCAGGCGGATCATCTGAGCGTGGCGCTCCTTCTTGGTGGTCCGCCGCGTCACGCCGGCGATCTTGAAGGCGTCCGGGTTGTAGCGCAGCACCAGCAGCTTGTGGCCGCTGCCGAGCGCCACGCTGGCGGCCATGTCAAAGTCCCTGCGCACGTCGCAGCTGGGGTCGTAGGCCTTGTGCTGCTCCTCGTCAACCTCCAGCAGGACGTAGCCCCACGGGGTCGGCAGGGCAAAGTCCGCGTAGGCGTGCGCCGTCTCCGACTCCAACCCGCAGCCGCGGAAGGGCAGGTAGTGCTGGTACTCAAAGGTGATCTGCGCGTCGCGGAGCGCCTGGTGCACCT